ATTCTTTTCATCTAGTGTCATCACTAGTCTCTCTTGAACAGGTCAAGGTAATTTAAAGGGGAAAAAACACAGGGTTTAGTGTACCATGGCAGTGACACCTATTTCTGTTACCTGTCAATTGTTTCTGAAGTGTTCAATTGGTCTCACTGTCCAAAGTTTTGGAAGCTGAATGCAGTCTATCAAACTGTGTCTCCATCCAGAGATAACAAAGGTAATGCAGAAACTGCCTTCATAAGATAGCAATGAAAATTGCTATTGGTTTTCCCCTGTTTTTCCTACACTGAGACAGTAGGTTTGATGGTTATTATCTGGAAACCATTCTGTAATGCTTGCATTATCACTGGCTGTTGAAAAGATTGTAGTGTCATCAAATATCCAACTTTGTCACAGACACTTTGGATTTCTAAGGAGCAGTTGAAGAACAGAACCATGGTAAAGTGCTGACATATTTTAATAAGATTGAACAAAAGTAGACAGAATAGTTGAAATGGTTTTATACATCTCAGAATGGAATGAGGTAAAAATGGACTGTACTTATTTGGAGGGAAAGATATATTTCTGTAATATGGAAGTAAATTAAAGTTTTAAAGGAATCACAGCAATGGTAGCTTAAACATAAGAGAAAATACAAAGTTAATGTGTGCTTTCAAATAGTAAGTCTTTAGATGGATAGACTTGGCTTTCAGTTTAAAGTTGGCTTTCTGTTTTTATCTCTGGAACATTTACATACCTCTCCTGGGTGGAACTATTGTTTGACTATACATAGAAAGAATCTTTCAAAAGTAATTGTAATGTGACTAAAATTTTTAGTTTATCTATTACAAGGAAGTAAGTTTTAGTATTAAAACTGTAGTCAAAAATAATTCAAAATGAAGTGGTGTTTATTTTAAAAGAAGTTTGTAGGCAGAATTGAAAGAATGATAGATTGAAAATTATGAAAAGGGATATATGGTTAGAACTGTGAAATAAATGAGGATGGAAAAGGTAATGTAATTGTAGGACAGAGAGAGAGATATAATTTTCTTTTCAGGATTCATAATATTTCCAATCCAATGTGTAACTATAGTTCATTAAGATTTTGAAATATTACTATTTTATTTTTTCTCTCCTTATAAAATTAAAATGTAAACTTTATTCAGAGAAACAAAATCATAAAAGCTCTCTCTCTGAATTCTTCATTTACCTTATCTCTTGAGACTTATGAAAAAATAATGCAGTCTACATGGTTTCATTTGATTTAGAGAGTTCATGCTACTGAGAATATTTACAATTTCTTCTTGTATGTTATTTTCTACCTTCTTCTCTACTATCCTTATCTTTGGGTAGGAATAACACATTTTCCATACTTACTATTTTTATTTATTGTATTTTTTATATAGCTTATATTACATACAGACTATATTACGTAATTGCATAATTAAATGTATTGCTTTAGTCTTCCTGTATTTTCTTTATTCTCTGACTATATTTTTGAGCAAAAATGTCAGCATACATCCAGTATACTGCTGTGATTTTGTGTATACAGATATATTCTTTAAGATGAAGAACTAATTTAACTAGTAGAGAATTACCTCATTAAAAGAATTTAGAAATGTGGGACAGGCTCTGTATCTGTTGTGGCTTAATGTTATTAAAAAGTATTATATATTACATATACTGATTTTATTCACATCTCAATGTAGTAAAATAGTCTTTCACTCTAAATCTTATTTTAATCAATATTTGTGCTCTTAGCTATACTGCTATCTATTCTATTTGTGTCCTTAACATGGCAGAGTTTGAATGGTGTCAGGGAACATCTTTCATGAAAGTTAAATGCATTATGTTGTTCCTCGTGTCTAATCACATCCAGACTAATGGAATATATTTATGCAACATGCAGAGTCCATGGAGCATGTCTGTCTTAGAGTCTCCTCCATGTTCTAAGATAATGTCTATTTGACTGTGCTATTGCACATCTCATTTTGTGAAGAGGCCAGAAATGAGGCTTTTTGAATCTGAGACTATATCTGCAGTGAAAGATCTTTGCTTTTTAGGATAAGATGAAACTGAAATTAAGAAAACCCTTGAGGGAAAAACAAGAGTAATTAACTTACATCTCTTTGTCTTATGCTGCTTTAAGAATTTTAAATGGATGCGTTTGCCATGTGAAGTTTTTTTGAACACTGAGTTCCTAAATGCATCTCTTCAGTGAGTGACATTACTTACAATGAACAGTTCTGTATCAAAGCACGATAAAAAGATGGGACTGGGGATTTTTCAGACTTACAGTGCAATACCTGTTTTTTATTTACTTTATAAGTTTATTTATTGAGAGTTTCATTTGTGTCTAAATCTGCATATAATACCCTTGTAGGTACTAGTCTCATACATCAAGGTGAACAATTGATCCAAAAAATACTAATTCCACAGCAAAGCAATGACTATTCAAATGAAGACTACCTATTGATATGATGTAAATTTAATAGAATTTCTGTCATTGTTTTATTTCTGCATGAAATGTATTTCTATCAACAAAGATCTATTTAGTAGATTAAAAGCTACAGAGATAGAATTTTCTACCTACTATTTGGAATTTATGGCATGGCTTCTTAATTGGGAGAAAATAAGTGCTACTGTGTATAAATTAATTACTCTATTAGTACTTCCTTCTTATCATCGTTAATTAAAAAAAGGTGGTGCATTACCATACCAAAACTTCTACTAATTCATTAATATTTCTATCAATTAATGCAAAAAGGTTATAATCCATTTATCTCAAGATATGTTATCAGCTGATCAGGTATCTACAGTGAGAAGACACCTCTTATCTTATTTTTCTTCCTCTGGCTTCTATTAGAATTATTCTTCTAATATGTTTGATGAGTAAAAACCTAAAACTGAAAAGTCTTTGTTACTAAGAATGATTTTTTTTGCCACTTTGATGTGTAAATACTTTTTCCATAACAAATACTTTGCTTTTAAATATACAATTTTAAAAAAGTGTAGGTATATGTGACTGATTTCTATGCAAATACTGGTCATTTGATTCTAAAATATTCAAAGGGAACTTCCCTGCTATTCAGTCTTGTCCCACTGACATTGCTAGAAAACCTGCATATTCCAAATTTGGAAATAATGGGATTCCAAACTTGCTTTGAAAATTTATACAGAAGGATTTGTGTTAATGCACTGTATGTCTCAAAGCTGTTCATTCCTATGGATACTGAAAAAAAATAAACAGTAGAAGGGGGTCATGAGAGAGACTTCCTAATAACAGGCTTGCTATAGTAGGAGTGCCACTTCAGGGCTATAGGTATGTAATATAAAACATTTTCAGAACTATTTAAGTACTTTTAGCCATGTTTTGGTGATGCTAATGATGATTTATTTTTTTATTTGACAGTTATAGCAGTTATAGTGAGACAACATTAATATGAGCTGTAACACACCATGGAGAAGTATATCTTTGTATTTGCTTATTTGTATTTCCTACAATGGATTCATTATAGTTGCCCAGATAGAAAGATACTTATATGCCATTATCAGTCAAAACTTGACTCAACCTTAGTCAAAACTGACGGCTGCTATGCTTTCATATTACATATCTCATATATAGCACTTAAGTGTGTTTGTCCTGTAAGAAGATTTAATTGCCTAAAAATGCATTCTAATTATGTATGTTTCAACCTTCTTGTTTTTGCAACAAAGTTTTGGTACAGTCCTGGCATTTAAAAGTAGATGAAAACATAAGCTACCAGCTGTAGTATAAAATTGTTTAAGTATAGAACATAATGGTTATCAGATGAAATTTAGTGTTGTCTTTAGCTCTGTTGATTTATATTGATTATTCTAATTTTGCAATTTGTCAATGTTATCTCGATGTTGACTCTAAAATGCAGACACAATTATAGCTGGTTTTTGTGGTGTATGAACTAACCTAGTATCTGCAGCATTAATGAATTATGAGCAGTGTTTGTGACTCATTAACAAACTGCATGCTAAGTTTATAGATTTTTTTCTTCTATTTCTGATGATTTTTGGAAGAAAGCATTTGTTCTCCTGGCAAGAGTAGATTCACAGTTCTTTGTAATTATTCTTACTTTTCAAAATGAATTCCTCCCATTCTTTTACTGCAAATAGATTTTCAGTACAGAGCATGACACTGTCCCTCAGATGTTCTCCATGTCTGAAATAGCAGTGTGTTTTTGAATGTGAAGTAATAAAGTAAGTAATGAGGTAGTTGCTTCGGCATTTAACTTGCATGCATTTGCAGTAACTTAGATGTCTGTGAGATGAGAGTAACATTTGGTTCTGAAAAAGTGTCCTGAATTGACCATGAGAGTTAATAGCTACACAGTCTCTTTTCCCACATTCTGTACTATGGGCTTGATAATTTTGCCTTTGGCAGAGTGTTACAATAATGCAGTCCTTTCCAGAGTGTGTTATGTGGATTCTGAAATTTCTGAGCTTGTACATACTTTTGGAAAAAAAAAAATCTGTCTTTTGCTTTGCATACTTTCAGCATAAATTATGATAATTTAATAATGAAAAATCTAGTAATAGATGTCCCATTGGTGACATTAAACTGAGTGCTCAATACTTGAAAAAGAAAAATAATACTTGCATTAAAATAGATAATATTCAAAAAAGTTGAACAGTCATGAACAAAAGTATTTATTCTAGTTAATATACCTTTTACTATCCAGCTTTTTCTTCAGCTTCATTGCAAGGATTGATTTTGCTGTCAGTTATAACTTTTATTATTTCCTCAGCTCCTCTACTAACTCTGTCTTTACTGTTCTTTTCCAACAACAGTAGTTTAACCACTTCTTCCTCAGCTTTCTTTTTTTCTTCTAGTGTCTGTTATTTTTCTTCCCCACTTACTAACTCTGCTCTGCAGACTTCTCTCTAAAACAATCTTTGGCCCTTTCCCTCAGTGTCAGTTTTAACCTTCTGAATACATCCTCTCACGCCCATCTCCTTTGTCTATGTCTGTACATTACACGATGTGATCACAGAAGAAGCGGAATCATCAAGGAGAAGAAACTCAGGTCTGTCTCTTCTACTGCTTTTCTCTGTGTTATTTTTTTCATTTTACCTTTTCTATGGATTTTATCACAGCTCACCTCACATACTTTTCCCTCTCTTCCCCCTCAATAAATTGGCAAAATATTGGCAAGCTGTAAGAACTTAAGGTTAAGATGCTTATGTAATTTTTATCACCTATAAATTATGTACTCTATAAAAAGTGATAAAAGGTAACCGATGACGCATATGCCATACCTTAAGACTTTAAACTGAGTTGATTTCTATCATATCAGTTCTTATTCCTGTCTCAATTATCTATAAATTAGCCTTTAAGCTTCCAACTAGCACATGAAAATAATCTATAATTTGTTTTATCTTTGCATTTGCATCTGCCACAAAAACTGCAGAAACTCTTATATAACTAGTTATTTTTGACCCCGGGGAGGATATAATTTCAAAACTGAATAATTTTAGTAAGTTAAATTCCAGGCACTGAAATTTCAAACTTAGTTTGAAATTAGTTTCTTTGAATAAAAACTATTTCAGTTTTTATGTAAAACATAAGGTTATGATAACGCGAGAGCAAGAAGACCCTAAATACGTTGAAGGAGCTCTTATTTAGCTGTATGAGGATTTTATGTCATATTGTACATTATTTCTGATTTCTTCTTTCATATAAAATTTTCATCTGCCATTTTATTGAATTTTCTATGTACTTCATACTACTGGCAGAGAACTAACATCCAGCAAAGCATCCTAGCTCTTAAAATGCAATAGTTGTTCACATTTCCCTGCTCATTCAGTTGGGGTGTGTAGAACAACAATGAAATTCCCCATATTTAAGTTAAATTAAGTTCATCTATAAAATTTAAATCTTACAGTTATTGGGTCAAAGCTTTAAATCATTTCTTGTGCCTCTGCTATTATCCCAACAAATTAGAGAAGCCACTTAAATGCAATTTAGGTTCAAAAATCTGTGGAAGTGTTGGGGTACATTGACTGGTCCATTAAACTTAGGTGACATTTAGTCAAACACTTTTGTCTTTTCCTGCTGTGACTGGCTCCTTCAGAATTCACTTTTACCTTTCATACTAATCTTGTCCTAATCAGAGCCAGAGATTATCTTTACAGAATCTTTCAGATGTTATTTGCTGTGGTTTTCTTATTAAATAAATCTCAAGATAGAAATTGCTTAAATTACAGGGTAAAAAATGTTAAGCATGGATTAAAAAGACAAAGAGTAGTGTGTTCTGGATTTTCTCTTTTGTAAACCACTATTAGGAATTAATAAATTATACTGTAGAAAGACTGTGTTTACTTATCTTGTGCTTATGATCCTTTCTCAGTCCCTGTGCAGTGACTGCAAGTCTCTTTTATTACAAAAATGAAATCAGATGATTGGGTGACCCATTTCGTATCTGTTCATAATAAAAGAAAGGAAAGTTGTTGACCTTCTTATTCAAGAACCTGCCTCTGAGTTATTGATTGAATCAATATATTGAATCAAAACATGGAATCAGTCCATATCTTTCCTGCTGTTGGAAGAAATCAGACCTTATAATAGTATCTAGTGTATCAGAAAAAACCACATATTTTCACCACCTGTGTTTCTTGAACATGTGTGAGTAGGCAATACCTGTGTATGGTTAACTTCTTTTGACATTGAAATTCAGATACTCTTCTGCAAAACACTATTTATTTCAGAGTGTTAAGTAAATGTATGAGGCACTGATGAATTTAATTGTCTAGCACACAAATGCAAAAGCATGATCAGCACTGCAGTTGCAAAAGTTGTTATTACTGCCCTTAAACTCAGGAGAAAATTGTTTTGTGTATAGTAACATACTTTCAAATGTACATTTGAAATGGGCACTCTTACATGTTTTACCTCAGTAACAAAGTAGCTTACACATTTCAGTACAAGGCACTTTGAGCACAGCTAAAAAGACAGGGTGACATTTCAAAGGCATACCTTTAGAACCAGGTGTTTTCCCATTGCTTTAGAATTTGCTTTAAGTGTTGGACTAGGATTACCCATTTACAGGTTTCATTAGGAAATTCATCATGGCTGGGCTTCAAGAACGAAGATTTGAGAAGGGCTCTACCCATGTTTGTTGCAAGTACGTTGGTGGCTAAAAAGGCCAATACAAGATAGGCATGACTGGTTGCAAAAGGCATTAGGAAATTAGTTTCACCTTATTTATCATGCTACCAAGCATTCATGTGAATTAAAGGATTAGCTGTTGATTTAAGGTGTTATTACATCAAGTGATGTTGAGAAGGTTAAATATCTGAATATGTGACGATTGTATTGAAAAAAAAATAAATTACCATTTTCTCTCTGTGGATATTATAATCTCTAATTACAAAAATAAGAAAATTTTATTTCTTCAAAAATATCTAGGTTCTTACTGAAAAGTTATATGAAAGCACATGCAAAGCTTATGCTGCATATTTCAAGAACAAAAGCAAGTTCAGAATGCTAACAAGCAAAATATTTTATTATAAATTTTGTTATCTGACAGCAGTAGAGCTTGATATCATCCTTAAAGACAAAACCCCATTTTTCTTGGATAAAGGAGGAGCTTTGCAAAGCAGAGGTTTTTTTAGATTTCTTTTTTAAATCATATGTTGGAAATTATTATGTTTCATAGGTTTAGATATTGTGATATTTACATATAGTGAAAAGTGTTGGGGAGATGTCTGCCTGTTCACCTTCCCATGTATTCAGTATGAGAAATGGAATTAAGGCCCTGCCTGAAGAAGACATTTTTATTCTCATCAGTGAGATGGTTCAGACCAACCAGTTATCATTGTGCCAAAAATTACTTGTAATTGCGAGTAATACTGTGTTCTTCAAACACAGGAAATACAGAAAACATTTTTAACCTTGCAAAATTAATCTAGGCCTAGATATGAGTTGACTCAGACGTGAGTAAACTGCCCAAAATTTGATCACCAAAACTATGGAAAGGCTGATCCATGACAGTTTAAAGTAGTCAGTGTACATGCAGGAGAAATAGTGCTGGGTAATTAATTCTAGGTTTATCCCAGGATGACAAGGGGTGAAGTAGTGATGCCCAGTCTTTGCTTCTTTCTAAGGTGCATAGGAGTTAGAAGATGAAGTAGTGGGGACAGTTCCACTTCTAAAGGGCCATGAAAGTCAGGGAAATAGATATTAATGTTCTTTTCTGCTACATCTGGAGCCAAACTGTCGTGTTAGGAGCACACAAAGAATTGATTAGAGTTTTTGTTAGCTTTCAGAAGGAAATTCAAATAGACGAGGACTTTGAAGTATGGGGATTTTTCTGCACTTTGTTATGAAGTTTTTTTGTAATAACATGATTGCTGGAAATGAAGCCTACCAAACCTAACAAAACCTATCGAAGATGAGTGACCAAATTGGAAGAGTTCGTAGACCTGGACAGTGGAGGGCCAAACAGTGGAAAGGTCTGGTAAATAAACTGTTGGGGAAAGCAAAGACCAAAAAAATAGGTACAGTTGAGAGGGTTTAAGAGATCAACTTCAATAGAAAACAAGGAGCACAATTATATGAATGCATTCTTATCTTACGGTACCACAAGAGGCTTTTCAAGCCTTCCAAGAGTGGGTCTACTGTGATATCCTTCACAAACAGAATATGACACCCCTCTGCTTTTGAGTTATTGTTATAATCAGTATTCAGTGACACACTTTCCTTTAAAGAGCAGGATGGTGCTTTGTTCTGTTTTCATCTTCCTTATGTTGAAAAACCATTTCTGGGTGGAATTTGTAACATTTTAGCACAAATATGATTACTTGTGCATCTCTGAACATGTCTACGATATTTAGTTTGGCAGGCATGTTTAAAATCTGATGCCTTAGACTCTGAAAGAGACATTTAAAGCATATAAATCTGTATTTGGACAACAAAACCCAAAGGGTAAACTCCAAATTCAGTTTAAAGGTATTTAGCATGGTAATAGAGGTATCATACTGGATGGTGGGGAGGTTCTTTGTCCTTATTTTTAATTTTGTTTAAAATTAGAACCAGAAACCAAGGGCCTCCAAATCCAACCCTCAAAGTAGCCATCTGTACTAAACCAAATAAATAAAGTCTGATCTTCAGTCTTCTGAAGATAAAATAGTAAAAATATCAGATTATGTAATTTAAAATGACAGCATAATTGCGCAAAAGACAGAGTAGCACTACATATACAGTTTTTCATTGGTAAAATTTTGGTAGCTTAATTTTTCATTCTCCTGAGTCCTAAATGCAGGTGCACACACTACTGTTGGTTTCGTGTTTTTTGGTTAAAACTTTGACCATCTTTCTAGTTACTAAGGTGCTGATGAAGATGTCTTGCATTCTTAGGATGGCTGAGGGATCTCTATGAATACCTGTTTCCTTTTCTGAAAGCAGAGGCATAGTTATCATCAAGAGTTTATTCCTATGTTTTTAAGTAAGGGGCTGTATCACAATGTGAAATATTCTCTGGTTATGTGGAATATACCAGTGGTGGGAATTCTGAGGAGCTTGCATGCTTGGCAAACAGGATGTTGGAAAGCTTAACAATAAGACTCTGCTCAGGCTTTCGTGAAGACTGCAGCATTTATAGTGTGGCCAATCTGAATGGATTTTTATGAGTACAGGATGTAAGCCTGTACTCATAAGTGGCCTACTGACCACTCAGATATTTTTCTTTTACACTTTCAAAATCCTATCATTCATATAGGGAGGATGCACCAGAATTCTGGGGAAAAGCAAAAGGAAGGGGTTTTTAACTAATTTTTGACTTACTGCTTCTTCCTTCCTTTTACTGTGTGGGGCTCAGTATTTTACAAAGGCCACCAAAATGTATCTACACCTTTGTATGAGCAACATGGAAAAATGTCACAGGCTACCCTCCAAAAATCACTTTGGAAAAGGATCTGCGCACCATAGAAAAGAGCTGCTCATAGTTAATCATTAGTGTAAAAAACATGCAAAATAGAACTTCCTGGCTTTCTTCAAATGATCTTTGTCCTTTACCATTTGCACTGA